GGTGAACAGCTGGGATGACGTCATACATTCGGATAGTAAGAGGAACCTTCTGAGGGGTGGAATATAGATAAGCCACAAGCTTCGAAAGAGCGGAGGTGATATAAGAAGATAAGGAATAGGTAGACATAGCAGGAGCAATAGCATAACGGTTCGACAGAGGGCTAATCAAGGTAATGACATCACTCATGTTGAATTGTAGCCTGGTGCTGACTGACGATGTCGGTGAAGCAACGCGGTCCAACTAAAAATTGTAGCTACTATAGCAGATGACTTTGGACAAGGTGAGTTCAACTAAACCGCCCTAACCGCACCGAAATCAAGGTCAGTCCGCTTGAACAAACCAAGTCTAACAGATCACAGCTGCCCAAGCACTCATGCCGCAATTCCATAAACTATACACATAAAATACTACGCAGGGACAATGGGACGACTATCGATACATCACCAAATATATGAATAAGTTGAAATCCAATAGCGTAAATTAGTCACTCTATGGGCTTACAATGACTTAGAGGGTGATTGTCTGGTTTCCCAACTAGATAAGCAGGTATCATGATAACGTTAAATTCCATCTCTTCTTGCTAACATGCCCAGGGTTTCTCAATAGGAACGAGTATCACGGAAAATAATCAGGGTATGGGAGCAAAATCTTAAGTCATTATATTTCGAAGGGAATTTGTAATGGACGATAAGCCCGGAAATATATAGGCACGTTGGAATCTCTTAAGCTAAATGTCTCCGACAAAATAAATAGATAAAATGTCCATTAAAGACTATCTAATGCCGTACATGAGACTTAAATCCACTTTGACTACAAGAATAAATGTCAACATATTTATAGGCAAATGAGTTAGAACCAAGGCATACATGGAGGCTCCAACAAAAGAAATCATAAGAGTGGCTGCCTTAAGCACCTCTTTAGAACATTATTGGAAGAGGCAAGACCAGTGGTGTTGTAAATCCATTTCTGAATAACCAAATATTACGAGTAGGCTATCGAGGCGGAGCATGACCCAGATGAGACCACAAGTGCGAAAGTGATAGGATATAACAAGCGACATATAGTCAAGGTTAAAAGTGAGCCCAGTATTAAACTATATCCAGCCATTAGAAAAGTACAAAAGCTACAACAGACCGTTTATTAAGCAAATGTTGAAGAACCTAGTCAGCAGCAGCTTCCTGACGCTTGAGAAGTCTCTTGCCATAGTGACGAGCATTCGCTCTATGTTGTCTAATAGCATGAAAGGCATGAAAGCCTTTTTCCTCTTCTGTAGGAACATGTGACTTCTCTAAGTGCCTGCGCTGGACGGCAGCGAATATTCGACCATTGCGCTGAGTCAACTCAGCAATTTTTTCGGGCTAACGAAGATGAAAAATTAAGCAATCTACCTTAGCTTTGACAGGCAAGACTACGACCTTTGACTTGTATGCTCGCAAACGAGCAACATTCCTTTGCAATCCTTCAACAGACCTATTGCGTCTACGGTGGTCGACAGATATGCCTATAGTCCTGGCGTACTTTATGTTTAGACCAGCAGCCCTCAGCTCTTGGAGAGAAAAGCCTCTCCCAGAACGCACCTTCATGTTGTAGCGTAGTGTGGGACAGCTAACTACGGGTCTTAAAGGGCCGGCTACGGGTCTAGGAGAAATCCGTTTTGCCTTGAGACGACGAGATACAAGACGCCTGTGTTTGCGAGCCGGCTGGTTAAACCAAGTCTTAACTTGTGAACGCCATTTTTTATGGAAATGATTATTGTGTATAATATCGTTCCCTCGTGGCATCTACAAAAATAATAAGTAATCAGAAGAATTTATGGGAAAAAATCATGACGTACGTTTGGTTTTGGCGGAGGAAGTAAGAAAGATAAAACAAATAACAAAAATAATGTAAATTGCTTTTTTTGAATTCATAATACAATATAAAGTCTTATATAATAAAGTTAAATTCAAAAATAAAGACAAAACTTTAGATAATAAATTTTTTTTTGTTTTACATAATTATTAAAGGCTAAGACAATAAATCTCTTTTGTGACCATTACTTGCCTAGCCGATTTAATACTAGGAATAAATTTGTTGAGACTAAAATATAATGGTTAATGCTGTCCTTAAAATGGAAGACACATTTCAATTATAGTACGTGTAATTTAAATTTGAAAATAACTTTGTTCATTAGGAAGACCTTGTATTTTCTTTATGCCTATAATGGTTATTCTTTTTAATTATATATATTTTTAATAAATAAACTTTTTAGATCGAATCTGACAATTTTTCAGTCTACCTCGCCCAAAGTATCGATTGAATTTCCATTACATCTTTCACGGACCAAATGTCAGACATTGTATCAAAAATTGATTTTCTAAGCCTAGCCTAGAAATTCTGCCTCATAACCAAGTTTCACATTTTTGCTACAACGTGTTTATCGATATGATATTCAGAAAGTTTAATTTCTTGACAAGATCAAGCTTAATATAAAAGAAGTCTTATGACTTAGTTCAAAATAATATCATGTTGAGCTAGCTAAAAATTTCAAAAAATATTCTGACTTATACATTCTTTAAATCAAAATGTAAACCTCATAGGCAAATTATTTGTCCTGGTTGGCGTATCACTTGGTATATTCGGGGATGTCCTTGGAATATAATCTCTTTGTTCCTTCATAAATTGTTCGTGAGACAAAGAGGACTTTTATTTGCCTTTGGATTTACCAGATGCAGTTATTCGACAATAAGTCTAGGGTCCTGGATGATTTTTGTACAATCTTTGCAGAGTTTTTGAATGTGCACCATTCTTAATTTACGCAGCAAAATTAAGATGTAGAATAATGCATCCTTCCAGGATCGAAAGATAATAACCTGATGCTCACAACTATTAGGAACATTGATAGTCAATCTGGCTCATGCTAGAAGTAATTGGGCCTTCGCTTCCCAGAGATTACTCGTAGGTACAATCTAATCAATCCTAAAACTCTATTAAGTTACGGTCTGCTGAATTAATACCTATGCATCCTATGTCGT